TTATAATTCCCCTATGTTATTGAGCGAGGTCTTTAGCACATGATAAAGTACTGTATAGGGGATTAATTTCACGGGTTGTAACTTTCACGTTTTCCTCTCATCAGACATGATCGCGGTTTCTTGAATTCGCGATATTGGTATATAATAAAAGTTACCTCCCTTGCCTATATTCGTTTAATACGACATTCATCAGCGTTATTTTTATTTCACGAACAAAAGGGTAGGTTTATATAAAATTGATAGAATTAATTAATAGTTAATTAAAACAAGTGCAGTTATTAAAAGTCCTTCACTCTAAACGTCAAATGACTTTCCTATACGCTATTACGATGAGTGCATGTGCACCCACTTCAATACAACGCCGCGAAAAACTACTGGACGGAAATAAATGCGTTTATGCAATTCGCCGAAACGATATCCTTCCAATCTTCAGTATGTTCGATATTTATTTGAATGATTTCTTAAAACCAAAATGTTGATAAAAACTAATTGCATGATAATGCAGGTAACAAATACACGTGGTAAAATTAGTTACGCGCGGGTAATCAAACCCCTGGGCCACGTGTTTTGATTAATTAAACATGAAGCGTTGGCTATCAAAACAGCTTTTAAAGTTATTATCTGCCTATCTGAATTAAGGTTAAGCGTGATAATTAAAATAATTGAATGATGAGTACTACTCGTAATTACTGAAACGACCATGTTCTGTACGTACATGTATATCAACCTGTCGTAGTCAACCTATCGTAGCTAGTCTATTCTCAAATTTCCAAATAAAACGTGGAGATTATTGAAAATTTATTCACTGTTTCTTGAATTCACGGATTTATTAACACCGTGAATATAGCGAATATTAACACCGCGAGTTATTTTCCCACTATACAGTATCCAACATTGCTCCTTTAATAGCAGCAAAACCAGGTTCCTCTGGTACATGTACGGATATCTTCTTTGATATTCTTTGAAAATGTTCTCTTACTATGGTTTGAATGCGTTCATTATATGCATATCCTCCAATTAAACAAACGAATCTGACTTCTTTCAATCGATCCTCTGTACAGGTAGCCTGGATAACCGTTCTAGTGTTTTTACAAATGTCTTCCATAAAACCTTTTATAACCTCTGAACCTATCTTTAGCTTATTTTGTGATACCAAAATCCCTTTAGCTTGCAGCACTGACCCAACTTTTTGGGGTAAAACTGTCCTTAGTTTCTCTGGTAACCCAATTTCTGTATATTTCATCTCCTCTGAGTTTTCCTTTAACTTGTGTAAATTCATTGACAGCTCACAATAAAATGCTTTGTAGTCCCTCTTCAGATCAGGTAAGCTGATATTCTTAAATTGGTCTGCAAACATTTGTAAAAGCTTGTCCTCCGATTTTTTGTCATGCCAATCCGAAAAGAATTCAGCGTGATGTTTGCTAATAAATTTCTCTTCCTCCTTATTTATCTCGAGAATATCATACTGAATTCCAGCTACAATAAATATTAACATTATTAAACCGGTGTACGACATATTGGTGTTAGACACGCACTCACACACACCTTTTCCCTCATGTTGACACCCCTAACACCCCTCCCACATCTATAGGTTCCCCTAACACCCCTCCCACATCTATAGGTTCCCTTAACACCCCTCCCACATCTCTTGGTTCCCTTAACACCCCTCCCATATTTCTAGGTTCCCTTAACACCCCTCCCACATCTATAGGTTCCCTTAACACCCCTCCCATATTTCTAGGTTCCCTTAACACCCCTCCCACATCTATAGGTTTCCTTAACACCCCTCCCACATATTTTGGTTGCCTAAACACCCCTCCTACATCTCTAGGTTCCCTTAACACACCTTTTCCCAAATCTCTGTGTACGACATACTGGTGTTAGCCACACACCCTCACACACACCTTTTTCCTCACGTTGACATCCCCATGGCATCCCCTTACACACCTCCCAATTCTCTAGATACCCCTAACACCCCTCCCACATCTCTAGGTTCCCCTAACACCACTCAAACATCTCTAGGTTCCCCCTAACATCCCTCCCATATTTCTAGGTTCCCTTAACACCCCTCCCACATCTCTAGATACCCCTAACACACCTCCCACATCTATAGGTTATCTTAACACCCCTCCCACATCTATAGGTTCCTTTAACACCCCTCCCACATCTATAGGTTCCCTTAACACCCCTCAAACATCTATAGTTTCCTTTAACACCCCTCCCACATCTATAGGCTCCCCTAACACCCCTTGCACATCTATAGGTTATCTTAACACCCCTCCCACATCTATAGGTTCCTTTAACACCCCTCCCACATCTATAGGTTCCCTTAACACCCCTCAAACATCTCTATGTGCCCCTAACACCCCTCCCACATCTCTAGATTCCCCTAACACCCCTCGCACATCTATAGGTTATCTTAACACCCCTCCCACATCTATAGGTTCCTTTAACACCCCTCCCACATCTATAGGTTCCCTTAACACCCCTCAAACATCTCCAGGTGCCCCTAACACCCCTCCCACATCTCTAGATACCCCTAACACACCCCCCACATCTATAGGTTCCTTTAACACCCCTCCCACATCTATAGGATCCTTTAACACCCCTCCCACATCTATAGTTTCCTTTAACACCCCTCCCACATCTATAGGTTCCCTTAACACCACTCCCACATCTATAGGTTCCCTTAACACCACTCCCACATCTATAGGTTCCATTAACACCACTCCCACATCTATAGGTTCCCTTAACACCACTCCCACATCTATAGGTTCCCTTAACACCACTCCCTCATCTATAGGTTCCCGGCCCTAACACACCTCCCACATCTCTTGATACCCTTAACAGCCCTCCCACATCTATAGGTTCCCTTAACACCCATCCCACATCTGTAGGTTCCCTTTACACCCCTCCCACATCTCTAGGTTCCCCTAACACCCCTCAAACATCTCTAGGTGCCCCTAACACCCCTCCCACATCTCTTGATACCCCTAACAGCCCTCCCACATCTATAGGTTCCCTTAACACCCATCCCACATCTATAGGTTCCCTTTACACCCCTCCCACATCTCTAGGTTCCCCTAACACCACTCAAACATCTCTAGGTGCCCCTAACACCCCTCCCACATCTCTAGATTCCCCTAACACACCTCCCACATCTATAGGTTCCCATCTCACTCCTCCAACTTCTCTAGATTCCCCTAACACACCTCCCACATCTCTAGGTTTAAGTTAAAGATCGTGAGTTATAAAAGAAAAGACAATAAAGGAAATAATACCATGTCCCGTTTTCAGAATCATGAATTTGTCTTTGCGTCTAAAATCTGTGGGTGATAAGCCATTAAAGTAAACTGATGTTGATTTTTTGAATTGTACATATTGACGAACACATTCCGATTCCATCAGGAATTGTATCTGATTTTCCCTCACTCCTGCCTGGCCGTGAAAGAAAATTGAAAGGTATATAATAAAACTGAAACTATCTTATCAAATGGACTTTTCAGAATCAGTCATTTAATTTTCTTTCTTTCAAAATTGTCAAAAAGTTAATTTTTTAAAAGTATGATTTTTTCCTTTATACGAGGGTTGATCCAAAAGTAATGTCACAGTGTCCATATCTTTTATATTTGGCGTCATATTATCAAAAACAATATACCAAAAGATGCACAAATATAAATCTAATTAACATTGAAATTTTAATGTAATAATGTTTATTTGAATTCATTTTATGGATGTTTAAAACATAGAACATAGGGGGTGTCGCCGCGTCACAACGGAACGTCACGTTTTAAAGTGTATTTTTTTTTAGAATGAAAGAGACAAACACAATAAAAAGATTCTAAAAAAAAAGCACTTAATCTCCCATTTTTTAAAAGACCCAATTCTCGTCATTTTCTAGTCTTTAATTGAAAATTAAATGGCGGCATTGGTATTTGTGATCATGAACATTGTTGTTTTACTCTGTTGAATTGAACAAAGGGATTGTTTTGTAATTGATTTGTAATGCATTTGTTGCTTCAAAAATATGGGAATCATCACAAGCGACAATAATGTTAATTAATCAGACTTACAGAATAAAGAATCTAAATTTGAGGCATCTTAATAGATGGTTTCAGCAATTTTGGGCGGAAGATTGGTCACTGAATGATCAGCAGAGAACAAAAAGACCGAAAGATTGGAGATCGGACGGAAACGTTCAATGGTGTCTGACGTCAAAAAAGACAGACGTATAGAGTGACATGCATGTGTGAATTTCTAAGTTGGCTTTGCTACTCTTCAAAAATTTTGACAGAGGGCTTAATTATGAAACGAGTGAGTGTATAATGGTACCAAGAAGTCTTTTAAAAAGTGGAACTGGTGAAAGTGTTTGCGAATCACAAATATTATTTTAATGAAACGAAGGGGAAACGCTTAAAAGTATGACGGTGCGTATCCGTCATACGACGTTATATTTAGGTGCGGCGACTACCATAAACGCACATTGTTTTTTTTTTGTTTTTTTTTTTTTGTTTTTTAAAGGTATTTGGAAAGTATACATCATATTCCTTTGAATTTTTCAGGTCTGATTTGAAATAAATATAGCTTCCATCATGTATAATTTTGTTGCTTTTAGTTGATTTATAGTAATTTTATCAAAGTTGTGACATTACTTTTGGATCAACCCTCGTAATATATAAAAAGATAAATTTAAAATATCAATATGTACTGTGACATTTACCTCTGTTATTCCTGATGATACATATTCTTTCACCGATTTACTTATTTCCTCTGAATTTACTCCAGACCTTTTGATAATTATAACAAAATAAATATCCGCCTTGTTTGGACTCTTGTGCTCTTTACCAATGAACTGTAATACAGCATTCAGTAAACCAAGAAGAAACCTTGAATACTTTTGCATACAGCTCTCTACCTACAATTATATAATATTTCTTTAAAAAAAAAAACACTTAGACGGATTACTTCCGGATATTCTCCACGAGCGATAAAAAGAATAATATTAAATGCAATTTAACCGTAACGAACTTATCTTGAAAGTAACATCATGCTCTTGTATTGTAAGAAAGATCTTCGATTTTTACCTTAGATTTTTTAAACAAAGAATAATTCAAACACAGTTTTTTTATGCTCGCATGAAGCGCAGGGGATCCATTGGTTTACAATATAAAAAGTTACCAGGAGTTACGAGTGACCCGAAGTGATGCTGATATTTAAAAATATTCTAGAGTTTGATAACTAATGATCGTAACAGGACGATAAAAAATAAACTTAGTCTTGATTAACAGATGTTGAAAACTTAAATTGCATACATTTAAGAAATAAATAACAAGTTTATAAACTTCAATGGGAATTGAAGTGGGTCGGTCACGTGATCAAATCCTGTGAAGGCCGAAGGCCTTCTCAGAAGATTTGATCACGTACCGACCCACTTCAATTCCCATTGAAGTTTATAAACTTGTTATTTATTACTTATATATACATTTGAGACAGACAATTGAATATTTTCGAATTTAAATTATTGCACTAACCGTCCGTCGTAGATTTTGAAAAATGACGCAAGGTGTAAATCGGCTTGCATGGCGGTTACGCTTCAAATTCATTAGGCTAAGGAATCTATTTCGAAGGGAATATTTTGTGAAAGGCTACTTGTGATCAGTAATAGTGAACAGATTGTTGTCTGGGAATATTTTATTCGTGAAAATGATAATCGATGCTGAAAAAACACAAGAAACACGTCCGAAGTTTGATGATAAAAAGTTGGAGGATTTTCGGTCGCTGGAAAGGGATGGATGGATCCGATGGACTGAGACACTTGTCCGAGCCAGTTAATTTGCAATTTGATCAAAAATATTCCATGGTTTCAGTAACTAAAGGCATACTTATCGTAAAACACTGATAAACACGGAGACACTGGCGATAGCTTTATATTGAACTACGAAAACACCGAGGTGTTTGGCAGCTGTTCATGGCATGATTGCAAAGATATTTTCCAACAGATTTACACATTTATCGTGAGTAAAATTTAAAGATAAAATAAAAGTTTATCATGAAAATTTAACCAAAGGTCTATCCAAAAAATAAGGATGAACGTTAGAGACTGTGCAGCTGACAAAAGTGAAGAAAAATGTAAACAAACACTAGGCTCCTAGTTTTCTCTATGTACACAGGTTGAATCGATAGACCAAAAACTGTATGAAATACTTGTTTACATTTAAAATAAAATAATTATCATTTTACTTGCTTATTTTATTCATTTTTATACACGAAAAGCAAGTAGAGCAGGTCATTTTAAAATTTATGTACCGGTAGATATTATTGCGCCGTGTGATTAGGTCACGTATTGACCTCTGACCTCTGACAAACTTCATACAGAATTGAAGATATTTTCTCTCTGTATGTTTATATAATGGAGAGATACCACAAATGTATATATTTTCGGAATAAGGTCCTCCCTTTCATTTCATTAGCAATTTAACCAAACTCAGTTATTCATTGAATGAAATATGTGGAGGTAACGAACGGTATTCAAGCTCAAAAGTTAATTTTACAATACAATATAGAAGCAAAGCAAAAACATGCATAAATCATAATGATAAAATGAAAATTACACGTGAGTTGTTTTGAAATATATTCTTTAAATAAGTTTGATAGAAACGTCGCAGAATATTTCAGTATTTCAATACCCTTACATTTTCATTAGTCTGGTATTATTTAGAAAAGCAAAGGAAAAGAAAAGATAGCTATATATAGTGAGCAACGTAAATATGATTTTTAACCAAAAAAACTTACATTTTTTCAAAAGATCCTGTTCAGAATTTGAAAAAATTTTTAGATACATATCTTCAAATGCACTTTATAAATACAATAATTCTTTTTTAATGAAATTGTCCAGTCCTAATTTTTTCTAGAACTCTCCTGAAATGTACATACAATGTAGTAATGATTTATCCCTTTACATTTATATTCTCTTCATTAATTTTGGTGTTTTTTTTGCAATCATATGTGCACATATATTTTGTTAGTTGAATCCAGAAATCTATATCTCGTATTTTATTTCCCCATTTATTCCTGGATGAAGTACTTGCTAATATGCAGCACATTTGATAATTTTGGTTTTTCTTCTAGAAATATCTATATTAAATGACTGGGTAAAATCGTAATGTCAACTTTAACTCACGTGTTTGTAATCAATTGTCAGATCACCAGAGTAAGATATGCATTCTGGAGGATTTCCATCACACTTCATGAATTCATCTAGGGCATCATAACCTATCTTCACTTCCTTTGTCTTGCAGTTATACCAGACTACAGACGGGATTTTCTTTGGCTTGCCTGAACAATCTACTGGAATTCTGGGTATATCATCCTGTTTCGTAGAATAACCGAATCCAGAAAAGTGTTGTCCAATCTCAAGAGCCACTGTAAACATTCTGTTTGTGTGTGTTTCCCTAGTACATTTTTTTATCGAAACGGAAGGAAACAAGAGGCCCATGGGCCACATCGCTCACCTGAGAAGCTCTGACCATTCTGTTCTTTACCAGATTTCCCCCTTGTTATACATAATGCATCCCCACCCTACCCCACTGATCATAATTTAGACATTTTGAAATCTACACTACCCCATGAACTTTCCATGGGCACATATGTTTCAGCTTTTTTGGCCCAGTGGTTCCTGAGAAGAAGATTTTCAAAGATTTTTCCTATATATTTCTATGTAAAACTTTGATTCCCTATAATGGCCCCACCCTTCCCCCGGGGGTCATGATTCCTACAATTTAGAATTTACACTACCCAAAAATGCTTCCACTTTTTCTGGCCCAGTGGTTCTGGAGAAGAAGATTTTCAAAGATTTTTCCTATATATTTTTATATAAAACTTTGATTCCCCATTGTGGCCCCGCCCTTCCCCCGGGGGTCATGATTTGAACAATTTAGAATTTACATTATACCAGGATGCTTCCACATAAGTTTCAGCTTTTCTGGCCCAGTGGTTCTTGAGAAGAAGATTTTCAAAGATTTTTCCTATATCTTTCTATGTAAAACTTTGATACCCCATTATGGCCCCGCCCTTTCCCCGGGGGTCATGATTTGAACAACTTAGAATCTACACTATACCAGGATGCTTCCACATAAGTTTCAGCTTTTCTGGCCCAGTGGTTCTTGAGAAGAAGATTTTCAAAGATTTTTCCTATACATTTCTATATAAAACTTTGATTCCCCATTGTGGCCCCGCCCT